GACACAAGACCCAACACTCTGGATGAGCTTATGACCCAAGACCCAACACTCTGGATGAGCTTAAGGCCACTATCGAAGCATCCTGGACCTCCATAACACCTCAGCAGTGCCACAGGCTGATTGCCTCCATGCCACGCCGCATTGAAGCAGACATTTCTGCAATATGATTCCCCACCAAGTATTGAGTGCATAACTGAACATAATTRTTTGAAGGTTGACTTTTTTGTATTAAAAACATTTTTCTTTTATTGGTCGGATGAAATATGCTAATTTTTTGAGATAGGGATTTTTGGTTTTTCTTTACTTTTTTTGCCAAAATCATCAATTTAAAACAATAAAAGGCTTGAACTACTTCAGTTGGTGTGCAATGAATCTAAAATATATGAAAGTTTAATGTTTATCTGTACATTACACAAAATAATGAACTTTATCACAATATGCTAATTTTTTGAGGACCTGTATTTTAGAAATAAATCTTTGTTTGTGTTTGTTTATTTATTTATTTTTATCATCATCATCATCATCAGTATTATTATATTATTAGTATTTGGCGCCACAAGATCAAAATTATTCCACACTGGGGAAAACTTCTTGGAACGATCCATGAAGTCAGTGGAACAAGGTGAGGGCAAAAATCCAACAGCAACAGCAAAACTCCATCCAACAAATCAACAACATATCGATACGGTTTGTTTCCTTATAAACACACTTTGGCGCGGCACATCCAAATGACACACTTTCTGTATCGGTCACATGACTTTTTTTCTTAAAGCGATACATGCACCGATACGGGGTTTCACTCTTGTGTGCTCGGCACAGTGCTGATGCACCATTGTTGTTCGTCCCATCACTACTACCTGTTGAAAGGCAGTTTTTCCTTTCCACTGTTGAAAATGAGCTTCCTCTGGATGAGAGACTGTGACGAAGTGAAGATTCAACGCAATCAGCTAGCTTCTTTAGATTGATTGTTTTTTTGTACAGWGYCCTGAGATGACCTTTGTTGTGGCATGGAACTATATAAATAAATTGAATTGAATAGACATGTTTGAAAGCACAGAGATCCAGATATGTTTGGTGCAAACTGGCTCTATAGCGCCCTCTGAATATCCGCCCCTCTTATAACTTTAACATACACATGTAAAATTTGATACGTAGGTTCAACAGTCCAGTACAAACTAAAATGTCTCTTGGCACTATATTGTAAAACCTACAGGAAGTGGGCCATTTTGAATGACTTCAGTTTTTCTCCTTTTCACGCCAAATGCTATTTCGTCTTTGAATATGAGTGTACTGATTTCAAATTTGGGTCAAAGCTTCTTCACAACCCGGTACACAAAAGTTATCAACATTTGTTGGTTAATCTGATTGGTGTGGATGTAGGACTTTTTTTTTAATCTGCCTATTTTTTCGTCAAGCATGGCGTTGGGGGTAATGTCACTTTAAATTTTCAGAACTTAGTGTGCCTTTGTTAATTTATTACATCTTTATAGTGGAGCAGGCGATTAAGTTACGAGGGAGGGTCACCTTCTTTGGATACTGGCAGGGGAAACACTGACAGAAGAGAAGGATGCGAGCCAAATCGATGTGTTCCATCAACTTGCATGGGCAACATATTGTGTCTGGTACACACAAATCATTCCTAACTTTATTTCACTCCACACACCAAACACCCTCACCACTCAGCTCTCCTGTGTTCCCCTGGTCAAACTGAAAAAGGGTTCTCCTGCCAGATTACTCTTTTCACAGAYGATCCTATGGCATTGGCCTCTCAAACACGTCGGAGAAAACAAATGGTGGAAGAACAAATAACCGTATTCCTAATCAGGAAAGCAGTGAAGGTGGATCTAGAATATTTCCCTTTATTTACCCAGGCAAGTCCCGTTGAGATCTCAGATCTCTTTTTCAAGGGAGGCCTGGGCCTGAAGGCAACCTATTGTACATGTTTTTAGAATAGCTACTAAGCTGTAAAAAAGGTATTTTTCCCCTTTGTAAACACTCATACTTTCTTTACAGAGGTACATGTTCCATCTTCTTTCAGAAGAAATAAAGTATTCCTATCCATCCTACATCCCCCTTCAGCAGAAAAAATAATCTGCTCTAAAAAATTGTACTTTAGTTTTATACAAACACCAATACTTAACAATGGACAGTCACACAAAAATGGCTACAATATTCAGCCATTTTTATGTACATCAAACCAATGATGTGCAGTTAGGAGAGGTTTAGTTTAAAACAAAGGCAGCTGTTTTTTTTTCTCCCCTTCCTTCTTGCCTTTGTTTTAATCTAAACTTTAAGCTAAACTGAGGCAGCACAAGCATGCACAGTAGATCTGCACATAAATCCTGCTCCTTCCTATCTCCTGAGCAATAGTAGAGGAGGTGACCCATGAAAGGCAGCCCATGTTATTTGCAGTTTCGGTCCTCCATACTATTAAAGCACAGAGGACCGAATATCATTTTATGTTCATAATCAGACAAAAACTAAACTTGAATGTGTTTCACTGAGTGACACACRTGCAATGCTTGGTATACAGGTATATGCTTGGTATATGCTTGTAATACAGCAAGAGCCCCCAACCATATGCATAGTCATTTTTAGTCTTATCTTTCATTCAAGGTGTCATTAAAAAGGTCTTAAAAAGTCAAAGTTGACTTGCTAAAGCCTGCAGATACCCTTTGCAAAGAAGACCCACACCACAGCTCGAACAGAGATATTTTCAAATGAAATGTGACTGTAGATATCATGCAAGAAACCGCTTTTCTGCTTTGTCTGCCCTTTTTACATTTTTGACAATGTTCGATGGGAAATTATGGCCAGTGCATGGATTTCATTTATGAGTAAATGCAGGATATGACAACACTGTTTTAATTAGATTTGCATCAAGTGAGCTACAGTTTGTGGGTGTCAAGAATACTGGTATGAAATGTGTAACAATTCATTTATTTTTACCAATCAAAGGGTGAATAAGTTGGTGCCTGACCAGTGATGAACCTCACTGCATCTTACTAAAATTTGTACTGCAGCAGTCATCAATAAATAATCTGAGCATCAGTTTTTAACATAAGATGATCTTACACTAACATTTTGGCACAAAAGGTGGTGGGCAACATGCATTCCTTTGAAAGAAAATAGGAGAATTACGTGTGTTTGTTTACCTTAATACATGTTCGTAACCAGATTAAAAATGCACCAATATTTGAATGGTTGAATGTGAAAAGAGTTCTACAATACAACAGCGCTGGGCTGGACCATGTTTCATTCTCTCTCCATGCATTCAGCCCCGCAGTTCAGGAAGTCATTCAAGTCATTCACTTCATTTCATTATCATCTTCAGGATCTGACTCCACCTATTTTTATTGCATCATCAGAAAGGACCACTCTAGAGATGGAGTCAGATTCTCATACAATTTTCCTGTCCTAGTGTTAAAACAACAGTTCAAATGAGTGTTGACGGTAAAACATCCGTTTCCCAACACACACCTTGGGGGGTTATTATCATCTCATAAATAGGCTACTATTAAAGATGAACTGTTTAGATTCAACATGCACCAAATAAGTGTGGGGTTGGAGCAATTAAACACAAAAACAATATATTCATATATAATCTGTCTCCAACAACGTCTCTATCTTTCACAAGGAGACATGTGTTCCTGAATGCAACAACTCCGACTCCCTCCAGTACAAAGTCTTTGACAGAGGAGCCTGTTTTGAGTGTTAAGGTTCAAAAAGTAAACAAATAAATCTTTTGGACAGATACAACTGCAGTCGTCAGCTGTGTCTTACAGCTGCAAAATTAAGAATTACTTCAAGCCAAACTGCAAGTGACTGAAGTGGGATCTTTATTTCTAGGCTATATTAAAATAAACGGCAATTGGTTCATTCATCTTGTCCATATTAACAAACAACAGTCCCAGCATGGAAATCACTGCAATAATTGTGTTGTTATCTCATGGAAAAGACATAGACAACTTGTTGCCAGTTTTTTTTTTTATCCAATTTTAAACAAGAACAGCACACACACATTTGCTGTTTTGAGCTGCTGTCTGTCTGGCCATGAGAAGCCAGTGGTTTAAATGGTTTCTGGTTAAATTAGGGTCTAACTGCTGAACTTGCATAAATCTACTTGAACCCAAAATTTGATTCTAAATGAATGAGCACATCTATCTTTAAAAAAAAACTGGGATATTTGCATGAATATTTATAATGACCATGGTTTGAGTTGCGTAAAAACGTCAAGTTCACTACAAAGCAGGTTGTACTGGTTTTACTGGCTTGCGCAGAAAAAGAGCATGGGGGCGGGCTGCGAGCTCTCTGCTGCCTGCTTTCTGCTCAAACTGCTGCAAACGAGTCATATTTATCTAAACCCCCCTGCCGGTAAATATGAGGCAAAGTAACGTTGGATAACTGGTTTTGTAGGCGAGCGCTCAAACTCCGAATCAACATTTCAAAAACTGTAAACTTAGGATGAACAGAGACGCGTTTGTTTACAAACTTGAGCACGTTGTTGTAGCAGGAGGACAATTTTGTCATCAACTAATTTACGTTTTAGCTAGAAAACGATTACATCGGTCTCTTGAAATGAAAGTGTTAACATAAAAGCTGGCAAAAGTGAGAAAACATCTACAATATTCGTCTCTCGATAAACCCAACTCACTGCTTCTGTGAGAAATGACAAAAAAAAAAAAAATCAAAATAAAATAAAAACACTATACCTGTTCCGCCTTGATCCCAGAAAAGAGAAAACACGACTCCTTCTCTAGCAGCCTGCACGACTGTTCCAGAGCCATCGGGCCACCGCCCCCTTCAAACCTCTTCCAGCCAACTGTGGATGGAAACATGACGTCATTTCCTAATTCTGTCCGCCAGCACGCTTCTATAAACAAGCTGTGAAACACAGCTGAAAGTAGGCTGGCAAGTTCAAAGAACCTGTTACACCATCAATATGTAGCCTAGTATTACAGCACCTTGCATGCTTCACTTACTATAATAT